TTTTCGACCATGCTAACATGTAAGATGGTGATGATTCTGTCTAGTAAAACCATTTGGAAAATCCAGTGCGCATGTTTTTGGCTAGATCCGTCAAGTGCGCTCTTGCTTAACGTCGATGTAGAGTCAGTCACATATCACTACATCCCCTTGTACTTAGTTACACTATGGTTTGAGTGTCAGTTAACCTTAGTACCCTGAAGCAGAATCCATCACTCTTGGGCTTGACAGAATCGCAAGTTGTGGAAGTAGTGCACTTCAACTTGACTAAATGCAAGGTACTGTCGATACGACGCCAGATCAACTACTCATACAGGCTCGGAACGCATGTACTGCAGCAGTCTTCCGTCGAACGTGAGCGGAGTGTAATAGTTCAAGATAAATTAGTTAATTCCCGGTAATCTGAAAAGGTTTTGTATGCTGGTAACCAATATCTCTGTTTGTTGCGACGGGCGTCCGGACAACTAGACATGACTATTCTTCGACAGATGCTCAGTACATTTATCCTCCCCTTACGCGATTCAAGTCAGGCAACCATTACTACAACACGACTTCACTGTAATAAAGCAGCCTCAACCTCTAGCATCCAAATACGCCATTGGAATCCGACCTCTGACATACGAGTTGAGGCTGAAACGATTGGAAATAGTTAGCAATCGACATCACAGATTACGATGCGATTTGGACAATGGACAATGGACAATGGTTTATTACGCGTAAAAAAGCATCGCTTAACAAGTCCTGTGGGATGGAAATTATTGCGAAAATAAATTGCATAATAAAGTGAAAAGCGTTGTGGTGGACTCACCATAGACTTATGTGAAATAGCGGAGATGTTCGCGTATTGAACATAAAAATCCATAAATCCAATGGTTGAGCGTTTGGCAAGAAACCGTTTGATTGCGTTTTGTAGCCCCTGGCTAACAAGTCATAAAAGGAAATGTAAGTGAGACAACGCATCGTCAACACGTTTTTTAAATATTGTCAGATTGGGAGCAGAGACGACATAATTAGGGAGGGCATTCCAAGGCTCACACACGCGGAGAGAAAAGAAATTTCTACGGCATTCAAGCCGGCTGTAATGAATTGTCAGTTTCAGAGGGTGACCTCTTAGTTTAATGTTGGGGTTCAATTCCAGCAGCGGACGGCAAATGTGGTTTGGGTTCTTCAGAATCTGGTAAACCATTATGAGATCCCCCGCAAAAGCCGATATCGACTGCTGTACATTCTTAGAGATTTCAGTCTAAGCTGAAAGGGCAGATGAAAGAGGCCCCCTGACGTTCTTGGTTGCCCGTCGTTGAGGAGTCTCGAGAGCAATGAGATCCTGTTTCTGCCACGGCTGACACGCCTGAATAGCATATTCCACATGCGGGCGCACGTAGGCGTTAAGCATTTGGGGAAATATTGATGGTTCAAACCGACCGAAGGCTCTGCGAAGAAGGCCGAAGTGTTGATTTCCGGTTCTCGTCGCCTTCTCTGCTTGTTTGGAACACCCGAGATTTTCCTGTACCAATACACCCAGGTCCCGCTCATGAGAAACCTTTGCCAAGGTGTGGTCTCCAATCTTGTAGGCGCTCACCAGCTGGTGACGCAGATGCATCACTTTGCACTTAGCCATGTTCAATTGAAGCTTGTTACTCTTTGACCATTCATAAAGGCAATCTAGGTCATGTTGGAGCAGATCCTGATCTGCCTTGTTACTAATCGCCCGCCATATCTTGACGTCATCGGCGAAAAGCAGGAAGTTTGAGGAGATGACTCTTGCCAGGTCGTTGATAAACACCAGGAATAAGCGCGGTCCCAGCACTGAGCCTTGCGGGACACCACATTCCACCTCAATTGGGTTAGAAAGTGATCCCCTAACACGTACTTGGAGCTTTCGTTGGTAAAGGAATTTGCCAATCCAACCAAGTACAGGATCTCCGATTCCGTAACTCTGAAGCCGTTGAAGTAGGATGCGGTGATCGATGCGGTCGAAAGCTTTGGAAAAGTCCAGATAGATGACGTCGACTCCGACCTCATCATCGGCCACTTCCGTCCAGCTTCCTCGCGCAATAAGTAGGTTGGTGGTGCATGACCGGTGTTGACGGAAGCCACGCTGTTTCACTACCAAGATGTTGCATTTTTCCAGATAGTCCATCAAAGCCTCAGCGACGACTGCTTCCATCACCTTCGCGAGCACAGGGAGGAGAGTCACTGGACGATAGTTTGCAGGATCGGAACGGCTACCGCCTTTAAAAATAGGGGTTATAATGCCACACTTCCACTTAGTGGGGACTCGTTGTTCATCAAAGCACCTTTGAAAGAACTGTGACAGTGGTTCAGCTAGCTTATTAGCCACAGCCTTCAGTGCCTTCGGGCGGATGTTGTCTGCTCCCGGAGAACTATGTTCACGCAGTGAGAGTAACTTCCTTAGCACAATTGATGGGTTGAAAATAACATTTGTAAACAGAGGTGTCGGTAATGAGCTTGATATTATGGGACAGGTAGATGTTGCGAGTTCAAAAATTGGTGCGTATTGCAGCCGCAGTGCATTAGCTGCTTCTTCGGCGCTTTTACTCTACCGCCTGTCGTGAATAATGGGGGTATTCCATGCTTCACTTTACGAAGCTTATTGACATGCTTATACAGCAGTTTGTTGTTTGCCATGAACTTTTTGGCTAGACACTGTTGATACGTTATTTTGTCCTCACGGACAAGTGCGGTGCAATGGTTGCGATGGGCCAGGAAATTTCCCCAAGTCTCTGAGTCGGGGTTAATCTTGTAGGCACGCCATGCTGCATCCCTTACCGCCAGGTATGTTCGAGTCCTACTCCTTATAATTGAAGGCATTTTCGCGGGACGAAGGGGTTTGGTCTCTGATGCTTTGTTGACGATGTCGCTGAGCTTATTAACGAACTCTGCCCAAACGTTGTCAAGGGGACTTTTGTGTGAGAATGCCCAAGAAGCTGCGTCGGCGAGTTCTTTCAATGCGTGGGAGCGTGTGATTGTATGAGTTAGTTCCGAGTGTTCATATGGATACTCTGCATAACACACATAGTCAAAAGTTATTACTACGTGGTCACTGAGACCTAATGGACTATCCATCAATAACTTGTCAATCATGAGCTCTTCATTTGTGAGCACAAGGTCCAATATGGACGGTTTGTTTGCTGTCCTGAATCTAGTGGGCGTGGTGACATGATTGTACAAGGGAATATTAGCGATCAGTTCCTGCAAGTCTGCTTTGAACTGCTCACTGGGCGATGCCGAAACCTCCAGATTGTGTAGATTGAAGTCCCCGGAGATGAGAGTGTGGCTGTACCTAGTGCGTGTTACTCTGTTTAGGCCACGGATCAAGCAGGAATCCATTTCCAGAGTGGACGTTGGGGGGCGGTAAACGATAGCTATGAGACATGTATCGTTGTGTCTCAGTCGGAGACGGCACCAGAGTGAGTCGGTAACGTGTTTTTCCAGGTCCTCAACTATTGTACATTGTAGATCTCTGCGGTAGTAGAGTAGGACCCCACCTCCTCTGCTGGGGCGGTCGTTCTGGATGAATGACATTCCGGCTATCTCAACCTCAGCATCAGTCACCTCTTGCTGCAACCAAGTTTCGGTAATAGAAATTAGGTCCCAAGCATTCGCAACCTGACGCAGTCGAAGTTCGTTAATTTTACTGAGGGGCCTGCTTGATTCTTCACGACCCACATCATGAGTGCCGCTCCTTACCGCATTCCAGCAGTAATAGAAACCTGAGATCGCTCACTGAAACTAGCATACTAGCACAGCCGTCTAGGGTGCGTCAGGAATTTTGTCTATTCCAGTGTCATCCGTGGGATGCTCGTCCTGAATCAGTCGTCTCTGCAACAACAATAACACTATCTAAAAGAAGATTGGATGACCCACTCATCAACATACACTTTGTTATTTAGCACTATGTCTCCATCTTACTCCTGGAATGGATCTTGAATTTATTTATTATCTGTTGCTTTTGGGTGCTGTGAGGTTACGCAGGTTGCAGGACTACAGCGGAACAAACGATAAGTCCTTCCTTTCAATGTACCAATTATTTTAGTTTTTTTTACCAATTCACCAAGCTAGTGAGTGTCACCTGCAATGCAGTGCTCCTTGACCCGTAAAACCGCATAGTGCATTTTGCATCTGTGTCTCTTAAGAAAGCAGCACCAGAGTGCATTACAATACTATGAAGCAATATCCTTTTTCCACATTTACGCAAACGATTGCTCAAGGTGGCACGCGAAGGCAGTTTTATTGTATCGCCAACAGCCGCAAGTGTTCATTTAGTTTCTTCATAGCACCTAAACCAACGGCTCTCAGGTAAACGTGACTGTATCAGTTACCCTCTGATTGATTTGGTCAACGTATAACGTATATAACGTATAAAATGGATAATAATTGAGTTGAAGAAATGCTTATGTAAGCCCAAGACTAAATACATGTCTGGCAAACATAACGTTGCTCACATGAACGTACAGGGATGCATCAATCCATCGGGAGATTTGCATTTGCTGATGCAAATGCCGATGCTCCAATCTCAATATGCTCCTGTAAACAAAAACGGTATGTTTAGTCCTGTTCGTCGGTGTCAACTATTCCCACTCTATGAAAGGTAGTTGTTAATCGCTCATATCCCTCGTAATTTTCCACTGATACACTTAAGAAACCTTGGTAACTGGTTGCGGTGGGTCAGTTAAATTCCTTGCAATGGATGTATGGCTATAAAGTAAGGGACCGGTAGTGTGTTAGGGAGTAAATTTCTCCGTTCCGTAACCCCACTGATATCATGTTTTAAACTTGCAACTTTAATATAGTACTCCACTTTCCGTGACATCAGCACCGGCAAAGCATATAACCGACCAAAGTTCTTTCTCAGGATGTGACAACTCCTTTAGTTTGTAGTGAACCACTTCACTTACATCAAGTCTAGTCCGAGAATATTGCCAAATACATTGAATTACATCAACCATAATTAATCACCTTTGTATGCCATATATATTCAGGTGTAAAAGCAGCGAATAAAGTGCTGGGAATCACAGGTGTTCCAACCTGTTGCTCCTGTCGACGGTTGAATACGACCTCATACGTCAAATCTTCGTTAATCCTGGCTCAAGAAGCCGGCCTGTCCACTGGAATCGTGACTACTTCTCGAGTGACAGATGCTACACCTGCAGCTGCTTATGCGAATTCCTTACACCGCAAATGGGAAGCGATTCCGTGAGTTACTCATCCGTTTTTCACCGATTTCCAAACTGTCATTAAGGCTTATTGCATTTTATGGTCTGATACGTCGAACTGTTGTCGTACTTCGTGCAAAAATACGTCTGTTCATTTTCCTCATATGCTTGGCAGCAAATGTGCATACACACTCCGAGGTGGACTACACAAATGTGACGTCGGTCTGACTTTAATTTAATATACACCAACGTGTTTCTACCATATAACTTGCCAGTGGAATTTTATGTGTTAGGTAAAACTGACGTTCTATAGCTCCTCTATAGTGACTGATGAACAGAACATCCTGAATCATTCAATGGTTTCCGCTAAATAACTTCTGGAGTGACTGGATACCAACTACTCGTAGGCTTCAAAGATTGTTTATTTTATTTGCATCGGTAATTAATATACTCAGGTCAAAGTTATTTTTGCCGATATCGGTGCTTTAGCAGCGCTACATGACACATAAATCTATGTGTACAATCAACGTGAGCGAGTCGCCTTATCCGCGTGCACTTACTCGTTGATCCAGAAGGGGATGTTTGGAGTAATCTGGTGCACGTTCGTCCCCAAATATATTAGGCTATCGTTTCGCATAACAGGAGAGCATGCTTTGGTTTCCGAGTTGACAGAGAATGATGCCACCTGACGTATCACATTAGGGTTAGATTTCGGTTAACCAGTTATAGCATTGGTTGATTCACTGAATTACTTTGTGATATATTCTAAGCTAACTACTCACAAGTGACGAAACAAAAGATGTCAACAAATCAGCATTTCCATGATGAGTTTAAGATAAGGTTATTTTAATTTATTTATATTAACGGTAGGGTGAAGGTATTCAATACGAAAAGATAATAACTTTTGCACTTTTGACACATCTCGCTTTGCACTGCAAAGGCCAGAAACAGCGGAAAACAATACAGCGTGTGAAGATATCGCATCTCAAATGGTCAAAAGGGGATTAGATTTTAATGTGATTCTTGGAGGAGGCTACCGGAAATTTTATCAAAATGTCAGTTCAACGACTCCAAAAGAGCCTGGAGATAGGACAGACGGAAGGAATTTATTGGAAGAATGGGTGAGCGAACAGCATCGTCGTGGCCGACACTGGCAATTAATTTTTAACAGAACGGAGTTGCTTAATGTGAATGTTGCCAATACAGATTACCTATTAGGTGAGTTCAATCAGCAAAGAATGTGTCTAATACTCCTGGATACCCATGGTAATTCAAGTACATTTCCCTGTTCCTGTCAAACATTAGTATTGGCCGAAAGATTCACAATGTTGGTTTATTTTGCCTGAATGAATTGTGTTCTTTACTTTGGTTACGTTTAGAATGTAACGATTTCGTATTTCGCAGTGCCATACTTTAGTTACATTGGTACTGCTGTGGTCAGTAAACAACACAAATATAGTTCTGCATAGATGAGACATTATTTCAGCTAAAGTTCCAAAAATCGTTTTCACAGGCATTGTTAACTGGATATCAATCAGTCTAGACAATACGACAGCTCATCTGGAGCATTTAGGCAACATACTTTATTTTGCCTTCAAATGAGAAAGGAAAAAATCCGTCTCAGTGTACATTTTCTCATAAGCCGAAAGTACATTTAATCACACAAATAGTCTGCTTACAAGTTAGTAGGATGAGAAGCCCTGCGTTAACATGACATTTCGCCATTTCAATGCTCTTCAAGAGAGAATATTGTAGGGAGACGGAAGGCAAGGATTACCCGGAGGGTAGGGAGATAACGACAACAGGAGCGAGTGGAATCAGGAACAGGCGTACCCATTAAGACCAGAGAGAACAACACGAGCCTGATGGGACGAACTGAGACCCGGTTGCCACCCGCGACCGGTAGTGAGCCTGAATGGAGACGAACAGAGGAGGCATTGGTTGAAAACGCAATCAATCACGCAAATATTTCGGTATTGAAGCCTCCAGGACGAGCGCAAGCAGAGTGATACAACCACGACTAAGCAAGTTGAGAGCTATCGAACGAGTCCTGGCCGACCACAATGGCATGGACAGACGCGGTAATATGGGGTGAACATGCAGCCATTAATAGGCGTTGCAGACTGAGGAGGCGCATCGATGCGTCGTGAGCAGACTTCAGAACTATGGTGCGTCGTAGGAAGGAAAGAGGACGCCTCCCTGTTAACTTTCGTGGGTGGTTTGATTGAGTGTTGTCGCATCAATTAAGATTGTGCCTCATTGCCGTACCGTTCTGCCACAACATGAGCTACTCGAAAATGGATGACAGTGCGCAACGCAGCATGGCGAGTGTACAGAGAAACTCCAGCACCAGAAACTTGGGACAACTACGTAGCCCAACGTAACCACTGCACTCAACTGTTAAGAGAAGACAAAGCCGCCTATCAGCACAACATCGCAAAAACCTTCAGTGCTAACCACAAACTGCTGTACAAGCACCTTAATAGCCTACGAAAGGTGAGGCAAGAATTTCCTCCACTCAGGACGGCTGATGGCCCAACAAGAACAGCTGTGGTAGCAGCAACGCGCTGCGGATGCAATACGCCCCCACGTTTCGAAGAGTCTTACCACCAAGCGATCTCCCAACCTTTGTCTTCTGCTCACCAGGACTAACCTACATCAATTTTACCGCAGATGCTGTATCGCAAAACCTGACGTCTCTAGGCAAACACAGCTCGCCGAGTGTTGACACCAATCGTCCAGAAGCACTGGAAGCAGCAGCAAGCCAATTGGCAGGAGATTTAGCTCAGTTTTTTCAGCGCTGCTTAGACCAGAACCAACTTCCCACCATGTGGAAGCTTGGGATAATAATCCCCATTCACAGAGGTGGAAGCAGAACTGATCCCTCCAACTGCCGCCCAGTATCCCTTCTTCCTATACTCGTCAAGGTCATGGAATTCATAGTTGCCGATGCACTGGTGTGCCATCTGGAAAACTGCAACTTAATCACTCCTCAACAGCACGGTTTCCGTCAACAGCGGTCATGTACACCAAATTTACTAATTGCACGCAGTAGTTGGACCGAGGCAGCTGATGCTGGCAAAGGTGTTGATGTGATCTACCTGGAATTTTCCAAGGCATTCGATCGTCTAGACCATCGGATACTACTATCCAATCTGCAGCATTACGGCATCGGCAAACCTCTTTTAAGCTGGATCGCCAACTTTCTACTTCAACGGCAATTAGTGGTCAGAGTTCGGAGCTCTTTATAGGACCCCATGCAAGTAGAGTACGGTGTGCCGCAATTAGCAGTTCTAGGTCCAGGTTTGTTTTTGGTGTTTATTAATAACCTTGCACAGGGAATCGCTTCAAACTTCCTAATGTTCGCCGACGATATCAAGATCTGGCGCAGGATCCAGGCGAACGCCGATCAACATGTGCTTCAGAGTGATTTAGGTACGGTGTATAAATGGTCGACTCAAAAATTATTGCAATTCAACGTCAGTAAATGCAAGGTGCTTTCCATGCGACATCAAAGCAGCTACTCATACCGACTCGGAACGAATATACTACAACAATCAACTCTCGAACGTGACTTGGGTGTCTTGGTTCAAGATGACTTGGGTTGCTCCAGGCAATCCGAAAAGGCCTCGAAGACCGGGAACCATCACGTCGGGTTGTTGAGGCGGGCGTTTTGGACAAATAAACAGCTCCATATTTCGACAAATGCTCAGTGCGTATGTTCGCCCCCATGTCGAAAACGCAATTCAAGCCTGGCATCCATGGCTGAAACACGACCTTAATGCACTGGAGCAGCCACAACGCCGGGCATCTAAGAACGTAATTGGAATGCGCAATCTTTCCTACCAGGAGAGGTTGCAACGACTAGGATTGTTCAGTAGAAGCTATCGCAGATTACGAGGCGACCTGATTATGGCATACTTGATTCTGCGAGACCCGTATCATGTGTGCTGCCCTTTACTGTAACTCAGCAGCAATACAAACCCGAGGGGCCAGTCATTAAAACTCGCAGAACAATACAGTCGTCTGGAGTGTCGCAGAAGCTTCTTTTCCATTCGTGTCTGTCACCCGTGGAATGCTCTCCCAGAATCGGTCATCTCTGCACCGACGCTAACTGTGTTTAAAAAACGGTTGGACGAAGCACTCATCCACTTACACTTTGTCACTTAACACTACATCTACATCCTACACCCGGAGTTTACCATGAAATTATTTGTTGTTAACTGTGGATGCTGCGAATCTAAGAGGATCGCACGACTACAGCGAAGCAAAGGATAAGTCCTTTTTTTAATTTAAAGTATTAACTAAATTACTATCCTTATCATCATTAGTGTGATGTTGATATCCCCACCAACTATCCAACGGGACTTGTAAAGCAACGCTTCTTAACCCGTATAAATTCATTGTTCATTGTTCATTGCTGAACACTAAGCAGCCAACCCTGTAATGAACTTATTAAATTTTCTCTTGACGTAGTAACAAGTGTGTTCTCTGTTGTGCATTGACACACGTGTGTTGGAAACAACGATGGCGGCTGTTGACGAATCAGAGGTTGTATGTTAAATGCGCTGCTGGATGGGTGCACTCAGTCCATTGGAGTGCTAAAGTATCGAGTGGGGACGACGTGCACTACAAGCAATGACATCGGTAACCTCAAAGTTCAAAAGGACAATCGGGTAGCGGAATCGACTTCTCATTTAGATTACACATACTTCGTAATATAGTGATTTGATACACACCTGAGCAAGCGAAGACGAATATTTACCGAACCAGGCACTTCATCTTTCCCCTTACCAGCCTTTGCCGATTAATTTAGTCTAGTGCGTTGACCGAATAGATCTACCGAACTAGTAAAGCTAGTCATCAAATTTGAGACCATAAAAGTTGTCAGAAATCGAGTGAAAATATCAGGAAAAGTGAAAATTTGTTGTTATATTCCGCTGTCAAGTCTCATAACCCGGATTAATCAAGAGATCAATAATGTACACAGACCAGACGAGAGCGCGAATGGTTTAACAGGAGCGTGAAAAGTTTGTCTTATCTCGTTCGTATTTTAGGCTTACCAGTTCCAACCATTATTAAAGTTGCTGACAAAGTGAGCAAGGCGATCTGAGAAGTGACGGGCGTTTGTTTGACAGCATTTGAGAACACTTTCAAACTGGCTGGGTTTTGAGTTCAGTGTTTTACGATTATACCGTATTCCTTGACGGCTTGTTAAGCAGATTGGAGAGTTTGTCTTACGAGGATATGAATTCGCACCTCTTTGTTTATGCTGAGATTTGCTAAGCATGGGTAAAAATCATATTCCTACAAGCCTCATCAGCAAAGCTCCTTACCACATCATCTTCGAAAATTGTATCATTTGATCAACAGAATTCCGTTGCATGCATTATATAACCGAAATGTTTTGCAAATCATTTCGTTTACCAAGGAAGAGTTGGAGGTTGACTGGTATAAGTGAGCGTTTATCACATCTTTTTATCGTTAAGCATTATATTAACGTTGGGTTTAGACTGTCCTTTGGGAATTTGCATTTCGACTCGCAGTCTCAAGTTATGGAACCATAGCATTTGAGGCCAACTTCAATCTTTTGTCAGACCACTGGGACCGTGTCCCTACGCATAATATATCGGAACAAGATAAGTAGAACTTTCCCCATGTTATGCAATGACTAATCAACACCTGGCCATTCGGGATTGGAATAATATGTTCGACGGAATCGGTTAGGCATGTGATAGTTAATATGGATATGAAGTGAAGAAACTTAGCGTTCATACATCTGATGTATATGGCTTTGAGTCATGTGCCTATGTCCATTTCTGTATCGCTTCTTTATAAACATCCTTTTAGTTATTTATAACGGTCCACAATATATTCATGCTGATTCTTGAGAAAGTCGCATTGCTAAGGGTGGCTATCGTTTTTACTGTACCTCAGTTGGTTGGTTAAAACATGAGTAGCTCCCCAAATTTACGTCGCTTAATAAAAATTAAAGGGTAAGAGTAAAATTTCCAGCATCTTTGGTACTCAATATGACTAGCTTCTCTGATCGGGTTCTTTAGCATGGACGGCCCTTTATTTTTTGCAGTGATGAGACTAGTTTCATGTGCTTGGTAGGTGGAAGGAAGTGAAGATAAAGGGAACTGAGGAGATAAATAAAAGCTTTCCGCAGCCTTAAGTCGATGCCGGTTATGTGCGCATTAAGAAAACCGGAATTTGGGAAGTATAGTGTATATCTTTATACACAATAAGCATATAGTTATCTTACTTAACTAACGAGTGCAAAAGTTTGAGGGCCGTTGCAGTTTTTCTACACGGCTCACACCTTGGTATACAGGACGCAATATTCAAAGACCACTGAAATGGGTTGGAAAACAGTTGATTTAGTAGCACACGAGATGCAATCTCGTGCCTGAATTTAATAATTCATACCCAAACATTGCACTGAGGAATGTGTTCGGATGTATAGGTTATGCTCACAAGCATTAGGATGAAAAGGATAAATGTGCAGCCACCTTCTAAATCTGAATTTTGCTGTCCTTACAACTCGCTAAAAATGTTAAGCGAAAAGATTTAACAATACATACATTGTTTGCTTTGTGATGTCTGCATAGGTTTGTTTTCGGGTAGCTATATGGATTATGATTTACTACGCACTGATCAACCGAGCCTTTCCGAGATGACCATGGTGGCAATCGATATCCTATCAAAAAATCCGAAAGGATATTTTCTATTGGTCGAAGGGGCCCGAATCGATCATGGCCATCATTGGAACACAGCCAAGTGAGTCATAGATAATCTTTCTTCAGCGTATCTTTTGTCATTACAGTAGGTCATAAGTGAGAGACGATTGAGTTCATTGTACCCCTCTACTAATTTTTGTCACAACGTCGACAAAATCTCACACGGCTCCATGTTTGAAACATTTGCAGAATCGCACTGACAGACACTACTGCAATGGAAGACGCTGTACTGGTGGCTGTCGAGGAAACAGACCCTGATGACACTCTTCTGATTGTCACCGCAGATCACTCACAACCCTACGGGATTGTTGGATACGGGACCAGGGATTTGAGCGTGCTAGATGTTGACTACACGCTAATGGTTAGTTGTGAAACTTACATGGTTCAATTCCTACAGATATTCACATTAAGCCCTTGTAAGTCGGGATATCACACTGGATCTAAACTAGTCGCGTCGATTATTTAGACCTAATAAAAGGATAGTAATAAGATTGTTATTCAACGTAAATATTGCTTCGACATTTCCCAATTTTACTTTGTTTCTTACACAGGGAAGCGACGGAATGCGTTATTTAATCTCCAGCTACTTTAATGGACCCGGTGGAAAGGTCAATGAATCACGTGATGACCCAAATACGCCGATGAGATTTGGTGACAAGTTCGTGCAGCAAGCCCTGGTTCCCATGGTGCTTTCAACGCATGCGGCAGAAGATGTTGCCATTTATGCCAAAGGACCAATGGGCCAACTCATTCACGGAACCATGGATAACACTCATGTCGCACACATCACTATGTACAGCCTGTGTTTAGGATCATACAAAAATGCTCAACACTGCACGAAATCTCTAGGTACCGGCAAAGTCACAGCGCCTATCCATTTATTGGTAACACCTTTTCTACTGTTACGGTGGATTATGAACAGCTGAAGAATCCGTTATTTGCTGATTGTTAAGGCAACTAGATTGTTCACTCTTCTTATGACCTTAAGGGAGACGTATGAAACTTAACGCCTTTTTGCCACTTCTTATGTCGCAATAATCAATGTACTGTATCGTACACACTGCCTGTATCATCAACTGACGGCTGCTTCAAAACCAAATTTGCTGTCTAAGAACAACGTCACATTTAATGTGCCACTCTACTCAGTTGGATTTGAAAATATAGTGAACTTGTTAAGATAGGTATTGTTCTTTCTTTTCTGAAACACGCGACATTCATGTTTACTTTCTTTAACTGATAGGTTTTACCAACCTCGCTCTTTGAACCTAAACAGTGAATGTAATAAAGTGGAACTAAGCATTATAACATATAATTATGCAGGTTTAGTTACAATCGGTGCAACATCCTCAGAATATTCTAAGGCCCAAGTCCTCGCTACCTCACACTTAATGCAGTCAGCGCACATCTATATGGTTGCTTCCAGAATGCAAGTTATTTGCCTGCCCCCTGTGATAATGTTACGTAGATAAGTGAGAGACGAGGTCTGTTACTCATGACGCGTAACAACAGAGTGCATTCTAATTGTGATACCTTTTGTAATCGCATAATTACAGTGGCAAACTACCGAACAGCATTTAACCGTAAATTTGTTTCCGCTGGTGCTTGGAGCTTTGATTAATTTTCACGGCAATATCTAGAGTACTTCACAAATTCTAACGAAATAACTTTTCTTGGGAATGGAAAGCCAACGCAACTCATTGTATAGCATATCGGTTTTCAATGGCTGCTTATTTCCCGGGAAATTTCCAGCAAGCAAACAAATAAACGTTTAATGAATTGTGGTATCTTAATTTAAGTGAGACTTCATTCGCCCTGCATATTAGATATTTGGCTAAGATTGCATAACATTTTATTCCATCGGTGTAAGGTTTGTGGCATCCACCACATGGTGATATTTTATTCCAATCCACTGTTCTCCGGTATCTAACCATGCAACTAAGTGATGGCAGTATGAGTTAGCTGCGCAACCTGCCATTTGCTGAATATTCCATTCAAAATGCTTTTTCTATCAATCGTAGTTCATTGACAATGGGCTGCGCGAGTAAACGCCTCTTCTAAACAAGGAAACTGACCACTCCTTTGACACAAACGTCTGCCCTAATTAGTCATCGGCAATTTGAATGCGCATAGCTGTATTAATATGCGTCAGTTTGCAGTACACACACACACTTGCATTCCCGAACAAGTATCCGTATCTTAACTGCGATATATCTTTTGCTAACGTCCCGTGTAATCACATAATGTGAGACAGGTCGAGCGTTTATCTTCTGTAATATTCTGCAGGGTGTCTATTTACTCGATTTTAACTTCAAATGGGAGGTATTAAAGGTTTTAGGAAGCTTCGTACGGCAAAATTATTCACTCACGGGTTATTGAGCACATAATTAAACACCTGGTTATATGTTGCCATACCGAGGAATATAAATTTCTCCTAAAACATTTGTCTAGCTTGCGGATTCTCATTGGCCGTGTTTTAACTATGGTCAGGTGCTATGTGAGAACTCTTGACAATTTCCAATTCGAAATATCAGTAAAGATCCGTAACTTATTGTGTGCACATATGTCATGGGTGTTTTACTGAGCTACTTACTAGGTACGCCGACGTTTCGTTGCCAGGTTAAGACACCTCCACAGTGCGCCTTCCAGGGCTTTATCTCAGAGCCTCGTAAGGTACTTCTAAGTCTAGAGTTTTATTGATCGGGTTTTGGTTCCTCAGATTTGTTCCTTTATGGAGCTGATAAATAAACAAATAAATATCTTGTGTCTCAACAACGTGAGACACGGGTCAGCATGTGTGGATAGATCACAGTGTGCAGATTTGTTTCACAATGGTCGCAACATTTTGTTACTGATGGAAGAAACAGTTTTTCACTTCCAACGAGTCTGGTTTTAGTGGGTTCCATCAACGGACCTAACTCGCTGCTAACTCTTTTGGGTCAAATCACGAGTCATTAGGCAACACTTGTGGACGGAATGACATTTCAAAAAAAATGAATAACTTAACGTACTGCAAAGGTATTAAAAGTAAGAAGCAAGGACAGAAAAGTTTGAGGAGCTATGTAAGTAAAACTGTTCCTCTGACGTCAGAAGGTTTTGGATACAACTCGGTTTCGTAAGCTTTTATTATGGTAACGCTTCATGCTTAACGCAACAGCTTTTCAGGCCAGGTGAATCAGTACACAACTGGATTAACTTCTTGAAGGAAAGTAGGGTGAAGATTGTAAGAAATGACACGAATCATTGGATAATAGTGTTGCAGGTCAAGTAGATCGGGTGGCCAGTCTAACGTAACAACATGCATCGGGCGTTTCTCATTGATCCGCGTCACTGGTCGTTCACATGTAAGACATTCCTTTCCTGGAGTTGCTGATTCACACTCCGGACTGACTTGGTCCGCCGACACATTTTCGGACTGGCAGGATTAAGACAGCCCGCCACGCGTTCGATAATTCTACCATGACCGTTCGGTTATTAGCCTTAGTAATCTCAATCGCCTAATTAATCAACCTCTGGCTTGTTGCTGGTACTCCTCCCTTAATCATCTCGATATTGTCCAAGTCAAGCACGTGTCCTGCCTCTAGTGCGTGTATGACCAACGCTGAATCGCGTACTAGGGCCCAGTATTCAGACTCATCTCTCGGCGGACGCAAAACATGCCCCTTGTGTTCTGCTATCCTCGTGCGCAGCTCACGCTCGGTTTGACATATTTATATACGTGTTCACAGCCTTTGCAACCGTTTTTACAACCACAGTTTGTCCTTTTATAGTGGGAAGCTTTATCCAAGACAGACCTGGAAGGCGTGGTCGAAATAAGTGAGAAGCCACAGATATTTTTTCATGTTTGATCGGGGATCACACACCAATGCAAGGAACGCAGTGAACTTGGAGCACGACTTACGATATGCATTAACCGAAAGTGCACCAATATCACCCGTCGCAGTAAGATACATCACCACTTGCTAATTTGATAATTGTTCAAAAATAGGTGTTTGTTTACCTGGTTGATTGAAGTAGTCAAAAATAGTATTCAGTTACTGTAATCAAACGCGAAAAACTAAATTTTTAATAGGTAATTAGCATTTTAAACAAAAAGCTTTTGGGGTGATTGCTTTTGGTTAACCCGTTTTGTGTGCAACAGCCACAAAATGTTGAGAACCAGTAGTTTAGGTTGTTGGGTGCGCCTGCGAGACTAGTCGGTAATTAATGACACGTAAGAGTCGTGCCAAATACGGGACAGTATAAAGTTGGAGGCGACTGAACCCAACGTATGTTGTGCAGCCTACAAAAATAGGAAGAGAATCAACCAGAGAGAGAAACGGTGTGGCAAGGTACTCACCAAAAAGCTTTGTTTCAACGGTAGTGCCGTCAGTAAAACAAGTGGACGTTTTGAAGGTTAAAACAACAGTAAAATCCAATGTGGCAAATTACTGAAAGGTGTTTTCCGGTCCACTACAAGGGCTCCCCCCTAGAAGACTGAAGGATGAAAGTCTGCGATGGAGCTGTTAGTGGGGGAAAACGGAAGGTGAGGATGGGTGCGAATAGTCGCTTGGGCTGGGGAAAGGTCTACCAAGGTGGGGTGTGTAGCAGAGTTCCCTGGGTCCAGCCGTTGTTATTTATTTATGATGGTCGTGTGGACCAGAGTGCATCATCGGTGGGCCGTCGGGGCAGGCTGGTCGGACTGCACAAAAAACTGGCCAGTCCAGAGAAAAGGCCGACAGGACCTTCCCTTTACTGCAGGCCCGACGTTGCGCTTGGGAGGTGTCACCCCCATCGCACTCCAGCCCACGGTCCTCATCCCATGAAGAAATCCATGCCTCTTTCTCCCACGAAGAAATCCGGCGTCCTCGTCAGCAACGCCTAGTTAGGCGTGTGGGGACCAACCCGTTCGTGGCTGTCTGCGGCCGAGGGCAACTGACTGTTCCTTGGGACAGGAAGTGTGCCTTGAGTAGGATGGCGAGTCACTCGAGGGTTGCCTTGGCAATTCCAGCGGTTTTGTTTCTTGAAGGTAGACGTCAGAGGGGATAAACATGGGTCGGGTGAAGTGGCTTGACGCAGGAGAGGGAACATGGCATGCATGGTAAAAGCAAATAGGCTTTATAAGTGTTTAAAATGCTTTAGATTTTTGTCGATTTTGCTAAACGTTCGTTGATGAAATGCACGATTAGCAGTAAAGACGAAAAATGGGTGATAATGGAAATATCAAAAGTTTACAAAAGCTGTAAAACGGACTGGGCCTTTGACTTGTCTACCGCGTCGTTCAGTTGTGTGGAGTTGAGGCAGGATACCTTGAGATTCAAGGTGAACCGAGGGTTTCGGGATATCCAGTGCTCGGTAAGTCATCGCAGGTGCCGGTGATTGGGTGCTTGTATCAGGATGGGTTGCAAGTGGTTCGTCAAAGAAAGGCACTTTGAGACGGTCGATGGACACCGTTGTTCATGTACCATACTGGTGTAAGGTGAAACGCCTCGAAACCAGTTGCAGGACGCTGAAAAGGCCAGTGTAGGGAGGCTGGAGAGAGCGCTGCACTGCGCTGGTGCGGAGGAATACGTGAGTGCAGGTAGAGAGTCCGCTCTGCATTTGCACATCTCTACTCTGCTCACGGGGCGGAGTCGGCCTAGTGAACGCATGCGTTGAGCTAGGGAGGACGCAAAGTTAAGCGGCGGTATACCCGACCATGTGGGAGTCGAAAAGAATTCTCCTGGCAACTTTAGCGTTGTGCCGTAAAGTAGCTCTGCTGGTGCACATTGTAAGCCAGCTTTGATGCTGCTGCGAATGCCTAAGATTACGAGCAAAACTTTTCCGCTCCAGTTAGGGTTGGATGAAGCGCAGAGCGAGGCTTTTAGCTGTCC